CTAGGATGGTATTTATACTTATTCGACGACCGCAGACACCTTGATCGAGCACGAATTTTTTACCGTGACCGTCATTTTGCTTTTGTGAGTTACGAATGATTCTGTATTTTCGATGAATTTATTTGTTGAATGTGAATTTTAACGATCAAACTTTTATTAGATGAAGTTAAACGAGAACTCAGACTGATAAAATTCAGAGACAATCTATATTTATATAGAAAATATAACCTTATCAGTTACTCTTAGAGTTTTTTTCTCAACTTTTTAATCTGCTAAAAGTAATAAATTAAAAGTTATTTGGAATTGTATAGTAATACCAGAATTCGAAAAGAAGAAAAATATTCTTTTCTTGTCTAATTTTGCAAGGTAACTTAGATAGGGATAAAATTTTAAAAGTGAAGTACACATGGTTTCAATGTTTTGATTAATTATTGATTTAGTTATAGATAAGATTATTCGTTTCAATTTTCTTTTTTGTTCAACTTTTTCAATAGATCCAACTGGTATTGTTTTTAATCAACCTGGTTTATATTATAATAAATGTTCTTCAAGATTGTTCCCATTAATTTTGAATATATCAACATCATATTTTGCTTCTTTTATTTGACATATTCATTTTGATGGAATGAATTCTAATATTTGTGATTTTATTTCTCAATCGTTTTTTGATAATAATTCTGGAAAAGATGTTCGCTATCCTATTTTAAAATCACTTATTCTTAGTCAATGCTTTTTAAGTGAACCACTAGATAAAAGTTTATCATGGCTAATTGAAAATCAATTAGATAAACTTAGATTATTATTCGATCTAGGTATGTATTTATTAACTAATTCCAAATATAAAAGAACTATGAAGATTTCATCCTGGTGGAGGTATTTAATCATTTTTCTATAAATAATATTAGATGAAATCCATTGCTACGTTGTGATCTTCATGAAATACGTTTTAATATAGAGATGCACTGATTTCAATGAAATTTGTGGATCGAAAGATATCAGTCCGTGTAGACAACATGTCACTGACTAAACGAAAATTATCAGAAAAGCTGATTGTCTGATGATAATTTTATTTTCAAACTAATTCTAGACGAATTCGAAGTGAAGAAGTAGAATCAAAACCAATGCGTTCCTATTTTCATATGTCATTATTACATATTTTATTGACTGAGTTGAATTTAATATCTCTAATTACCTCTTCTTGAAAATAGACTTTTAAAGTACGAATATGAATTAGTGCTTTTAATTATAATTGATATAGAAAATCGTTGTTCTCTGTAGAAATAACTTTATCGTATTGAACATTTTCATAATATATGAGTCACTTTGAAGAATACTGTTCATGATAAGATTTATAATCACTAATTTTTTTATTCTTATATCAACTTTACAACGCTTTGTCAAAATTTGGTTTTACTCAGTTTCAACAACTAGAAAATGTCATAAGAACTGAATGTAATCATTGAATAATTTGTTTTTTTTTCTACTGGATTTTTGAGTAATGGAGATTTACTTGAAATATTTTCGATCTGCTTTGGCTTGATATCTTTTCTAACATAAAATAAGAAAAAGAGTATAACATAAATTAGATCATTACATTGATTCTTCCGTTTTGTCCCTAACCAACTGATCCCTAGTCGATCAATTATTAAGTGATAAACAGATCGACTATTAGTGTATTCTATCCAGAAACATGGTTTTAGTTCTGATTTAAAGAAGTAGATACGAATATACCATGTGATATAACTAAAAACAAAATTGAAAAGTGTAGATAGAAAAGTAGAATCATTAACTAGGTAAATCAAGTAACGAGAATGTAAGTTTTAGTATAAAAATATTTGAAAATAATTTTTCCTAAGATGTAAGTAAAACTATCAGAAGAGAGATTAGCGCTGTAAAAATCATAATCAAGAGATTCAATGTAGTACTAATTAGTCATGAGAAAAAATGTCAACCAGTTTTGTCTCTAATATGAACGAAAATTTAGCTTAACCAGATATTTACAAAAAAACAGTTATCAGAATCAAAAATTACTCTTGATCTCGATCGAAGAAAAATGAAACATTTTACGTCGAATTGATATACCGATACTTTAGTTATTTGAACAATTTCATTCCATTTGTCTTGCGAAGTTTTTACAGAACGCTCATTTATTTTTGAGATCTTTGGATATTTTATGAAGTCTTCTTCAATTTTTTAAATATATTAAGTTTAATTGGAACTAATGATTACAGAATAGTTTTGAAATTATTTTACATCTCTGCAAGCAGTATCTGATAAACAAATTCTCATCCAAAGGATGTCAAAATGACTGGAAGCAACTAGCCTCTGTGAACTGAGATATTATCATAGTTGTGGTTCGAATGTTATTTTTTTATTGAGAAAGTATTTGGTTTTCAGTAAAATAAGACTGAATATCATGGTTTGACATCAATTGAAAAAAGAACAGAAGATCTAAAATGACATCTACAATCACGAGTCTTCTATGAATATCTAGAATGTGGTCAGTAATCATTTTAAATGCGTTTGAGATGTCTTCAAACATTTCAACCATAAGTATATGAAGAAGAATGATTTGAAAAAGATTCTTTTGGAAAGCTAAGCACATCATTTTTTGTTGCAGTGGTCTAAAGTGATTAGGCCATGATTTTAGGATGAAACAAAAATGTTTGTACAACTTCTAATTTCTTTCGAACGGTAAATCTGAATTTGATGGGGAAATAACAATGGTGAAAGGCGATTTATGTGAATAGTGAAAGAAAAGGTATTATTCTTTTGGCGAAAGAAAAAAATTGTGGAATAGTGAAATATCATAGATAATTGAATAAATCAACTGGTATCATGTAGTATCGTTGGTTCATAGTATTAATACAATATTGTGTAGTTGTTGTTCGAATTCTTTTTACTTATTACACCAAGATTCACTGAAGTAAAGTTTAAAAAAACTGACTCTGATAATAAAATGTTTTCTCTAAAAGTTTCTTCATGGATACAGATAATTTAAACTGTTAGATTTTCATGTTAATAATAAATATCTCTTTTTCTTTACATTGTAGGGAAACAAACGGTAATTTTGAAAGAACCTATACATCAATTTTGCTCTGGTAAAAGTCGATTGATTTCTCTTCGACGTGATATTACTAATAGAATGTGTGACATTAATATAAGGTAAAAGAACAGGATAAAAATTCTGTACGATTGGTGTCTCACTTCTGATGTCCCACTATTCCAGAAATAAGAATACGACAACGAGGAACAGAACGATAGTGGAAGCAGAGTAAAAGAAAAAAAAAGCATTGAAATGAACTGTTTATATAATTCTGTGGTTAGGTAGACTGACCTCAATGAATTAAATGAAAACGTGTTTTTCAAGAATCATTCTCTCACTCTCGATGATTTTTGTTTGCAAAATTGATATGATTGAAATTTATCAAATAATCATGTATCTGTTTGACTAATCATAGAAAATATTATACTAATGAGATCAATCCGAAAGTAGTGCTCGATGTACTTTATTTTGATATAGAATGATTGAGGAAACTTTTTTCTTAATATATAGCAATAGTAAAAACAATGCTCTATTTAATCATTCTTTAACTAACATCATAATAAGAAAATTTCGACCAGAATTATTTGTTATGATATATGATGATAAAATTAGATGATAGTGTCTTCGATATGTATTCTCCTTGTGCTCTTCTCTTACACCCACACCAAACACCCACCGCTACAATGCATAATAATCTACAGAATAGAACACGATTTTACTTAGACTAGTTCCGTTGAAATAGATAAGAACGCAAAATATATGACAAAAAATAGTTACATGATTCATAATAAAAATGTTTATGTAGGTATCTCTTTCCCTCATCGGACTGATGAAATGGGATATGACATGACGTAAATATTTTGATAAACATCTTGTGGGATGGATGGGAAAATCCTATCTTCTGGGATATTGATCAAAATACTTCCGCCTTGTCTTGTTTCATGGAGTGGAAGTTTTGTATCCCACACAAAACTCTGACATCTATAAATACCGTCTCCAAACCATAGTCATGGATATATACAACCACACATATTCCTATTAAAATTGTTGTAACGTTGTTAACAAAGTAAGTTTGTGAATTATTACCTGCTCGCTCCTCTTATATTCGATATTCATCGTATGAGAATAAATGGAAAAAAACTATAAAGAACAGTAGATAGCTACTATTTCAATGAGAATATCAATCAGTACCTTTAATGCTACTAACTAGAAATTTACCAAATTAAAACCGTTTCGAAAGTTGGGTTTAGGTTTGGCCTAGTAATTTTGAGTTGGAGTTGTGGTCTACTACCTGACTTCGTTAAGCCATTTGAGTTTGAACATAATGCCGTCTGTTTCATGCCACTTCTGAAACGATTGCAAGAAATCTAATAGGTGCATGACAACACGTTCTATATTCCATGTAGCCAATTTCTTCCTTTCTTCATCTCCATATTATGTCAAGCTTATTTTTTTCTCTTACGTTTTCACTATATTTTCGATTTCAACATGTTTCAAACTTTGCCTTTCATACCGAACATTTTGATATCATCCAAAATCGATGGTCGGAAGGAAGAGGATAAAGACCGAATAAAGATATTAAACAACCACATTGCTTAATGGTCGGATTCACTTTGCTTTTCGTAGTTTCAATACATACAAGACATCTTTTGAGTAAAATCTTCTCATTGCCATCTATAATAGGGAACAATGGATTGTTGTGAACTTGTTCCGATGCTACTAATCCTTCTCATACTTCAAATCAAAGCACTGGAGACGATAAACTACTCAGAACAGTTACATGCTAACAAGAGTGTTGATCTCAAGAATGGCGCCCGTACAACTCTCAAGGTGGCTCCATATCCTTACATACCCGATTCGGTTGGTGATCAGTATAAGAGTCTTCTCCAATACATCAAAATAGAATTCGAGAATGCTTATCCTAACATCAGTCTTGAACTGCGTCCAATGAACGCTAATGATAACTTCTACAATAGATCAACACTTACTGAATGGCTGACGAGTGATGGCAATGGATACGATGTGGTGGAAGTTGACACGATACTTCTCGGAGATCTTGTCAATGCCGGCCTAATTGCTCCGCTAGTTGATACATCAATTAATCGCTCTGATTGGCATTTGGCTGCTAGCAGTGCTGTCCAATTGAATGAAGCACTTTACGGTGTACCTCATATAATGTGTGGACTTTTTCTTTTTACCCGAGACAGTACGGTAGCTTCATTGACCACAATAGATCAACTGACACATGCTCTAAATAATGCATCGACAATGGATTATCGTCTAGTTGGAAATCTAGACTCGAGTTGGGACTTACCCGCTTTATGGATTGATAGCTATCAGAAGACATTCTCTTCTAGATATGCACTAGCATCAGCTCTTCATGATTATCATAGGGTTTCATTCGTAACAATGCGAAAGCTAGCTGAACTCTGCAATGGAATTAGAGGAGATAATCCTTGTCTTAATGGAAGATTTAGGGACGATTATGATGGACCAGCTTTGCTATTTGCAAATAAAACGGCTAAGGCTATGTTTGGTTATTCTGAGCGACTCTTTCTCGTTCGCAAAAATGGATTTCCTGATGACTATCAGAATATAAACGTTGTCCCATTACCATCAGGGTATCACGTTAATCAGCAAACCTTTTTTACTGATGCATATGTTTTTCGACCAAATATGTCGATTGATGTGTCCAAAGCCGCTCTATTGTTTGCAAAATTCATGGCAACTCCCAAGATGCAGGCAGCTGTAGTTGCTACTGGCGATGGTCCATGTCACAATAGAACTCCCCGCTATCTTCTTCCTGTGTCGCAGAAAGCCTACGATGAGCCGTTGTTAAAACAAGATCGTTTCTATCAGCAGTATTTCCGAACATTGACCGGGGTGCCCTATCCGACAGTCGGGTTTTTTAATACGCGTCAAGCACTTCAAGCCGCTATTTGGAAGTATGTCAAATCTTCTATATGTCATAATGCCCGATGTCCGTCCGTCACCGGCTCAAAGATCAAAGATCAAAGGTCAACAGCCAAAGATAAAAAACATCAACAAGAAAAGAGTCACAGGTCCAGGGGTAAAGGTTAAGAATCAAAGGTTACCGCTTGACAGACAAGGCCAGAAACTGATGTGATGTCTGAAGCTCAGACTATACATATACTAATCCTGCTCATCCTCTTTGTTCCATGTTGAATATCTATTCTTCTTCTCTATCTGTCATGTTATTACACGAGTTTGTAATCGAGAAGCTGAGAATTTCAATGTTTTATTTTCATTGTAATCCGTTTTGAATGTACAAATAAACGAGAACTATTCCGAAAAAAAAACAATCTGTCCATAAGATAAACAGGAAATTACGTTTAGGGGACATGGAACGATGTTTTATCCTGAGTTTTTACATGATCATTTTAGATGTTCATCTGTAGAAGTCAAAATAACTATATTAGCATAAGCATTTATTTGGACTTGAAATCATTATCTTGCACAAAGTCTCAGGCAATCCGAAGCTTATATATCAGCAATACTGGGTGATTGTTAAGTTGGTTTACATCGAATCGTTGAAAAGCGTTTTGGTAGAATGAATCGAAATGAACCAATCTTCTGGTTTGAGCATCTCCTCATAGTGATACGTACTGTAATGGATACTTTCTTGCAAGGCTAACTAGATGCATTATTCATTTCGCGTAACAAAATGATTTATCGTTACAGCCCATGATGAAGTAACGAAATATCCCGAAGTAACAAGTTCAGGCGCTCCCTATCAAGTCGATAACGAAAACTTGCTTTTTAAAATCGTGAGGCCCGATGATATACAATATAGAAGGAGCGCATGAGTCATGAGTATTGATGCCATTATCATGATGGAAGTCGCTGTGGTTGAGTGATTAAGTTGTTCAGTACATACTACTAAGGTATTCTCTTCGAGCCTCGGCGCCATCACATATAATGGCAGCAATACTCATGACTCATGCGCTCCTTCCATAT